TGTGTACGAATGTTTGTATGCTAGTAGTTGTCTATTAGGTGTGCAGACATGACGTATGTATGAGTAATTTAACAGGAATAATGAAAGCGATGAAGATTAAAGTGCTGTGGAATCTATAGAAGGGAAAGTTAATTAATAAAATGAGGGACAGTTAAGATTTGAGTGGTGACTAGTAGGGAATTCGACATGGTACAATAATTACAGGTATTGTCTTCCCAGAGAGCGCATATTCCGATCTGCCTTATTTGAAAAACATCATCGTTGCCCACACTAAAAGGTTTACTGTAAGGGAAAAGGGATATTTCTATATACCATAAATCATATAGTATGTTTACGTATTTTCTTAAAGAAACCTTCCTGCAGAGAACTTATTTAATTTGCAAAAGCCGAAAAATAAACATTTTCTTAGAAAACAAATTGCAAATTTTGGTTGCTAACTTTATTTCAAATGTGTTTTTCTTTTGTTTTCATAAATTTGAAAAATTAAATTGTGCGAAAACAAAAAGCGAAGGCAACTTAAAGTATTTAAAAGAATCAACACTGAATCAACATTTTGACACATATGAAAANTTCTTAGAAAACAAATTGCAAATTTTGGTTGCTAACTTTATTTCAAATGTTTTTTTCTTTTATTTTCATAAATTTGAAAAATAATATTGTGCGAAAACAAAAAGCGAAGGCAACTTAAAGTATTTAAAAGAATCAACACTGAAATGTGTCAAAATGAAATTAAGGGAGCGCGAATTTCGAAGTGAAGCAAATCTGTCTGGGAAGACAATACCTAAGGCGAATTAATATAAGGTGATAGCAGGAGTACAAAAACAAAAATTTACATGTATTTTATGTTTGCTTTGGTGGCATAAACTGTCAAACTCTGTAAGTGTGTGTGTGGAAATTCAAAACAAAATTTTTCAATTTGACATTAGAAGCCGTGAGGCGAAACAGATACACAAAATCAGCTGATCTAGTATTTGATTAAAAAGCAGATTTCTGAATCGCTCAATTGTGAAAAATTCGAAGCGGTGTTACCCAATTTAAGTTTTCTTGGTAGAGGGTATTTTATATCATATATTTGGGATTACATATAGAATATGTAGTTGTATTAACATTTACCATTGAAAAATAGTTAATGTCTCATCTTAAAATTTAACATTAACAAGTCTATTCTGCGCTGGTTATAAAAAGTTTGTAACCGGTAAATAAAGTTC